ATATATATATATTAATAACATGGTAATACACATGTCATATATTTTGAAAACATGAATACAAATGTACCGAATACATTATACTAAGCACTCAGCTCAAAAGGAAGCAAAAAATGGCAAGAAACCATAAATGTTGGACTGAAACATCCTACCAAAAATAAAACCTGGAATGTAGTTTAGAGCCAAAAGATAAAGAAATTTTGAAAGTGCAATTTATAATTTAGAGGAAAGATGATAAGTAGTGAGAGGTTTTTGGTAAATTGAGCACACAGAGAATGTATATCTGCCTGTTAGGAGAATGGAAATATTAAAAATTCATCTTACTGTTGTCCAAATAACTTATGTATCAAACGAATGGATGTAAAAACAGTATTTTTTGTATGGCTTAATAAAATCAAAAATATACATTAATCAGCCAAAAGGCTATGGAATTGGTAATGATAAGGTTTTTGAACTGAATAGAGCACTCGGTGGATTAAGAAAAAGGCAAAAAATTTGTTATAATACATTGAATAAACTTTTAAGTGATAAAAATTTTAATTTTTGTTTATAGCTTATTTATATGTAGTTGAGATTTTAATCAGATGGAAGGTACAAAAATGAGAAGCATAAGAAAATTCATAGTGAAAGATATAGGTGAAGTTTAAAATTACGTAACAGTTGAAACTGATGAGAATAAAGAAAAAACACAATAAAGTTTAGTCTACAAATGCATATAGAGTTGCTAGTGATAAAATACAATGTGAAATAGTGTGTATAATCTAAAAAATTTTAGAGTATATGATACTCCTATGAAAACAAATTTAAAACTGAAAAAATCTGATAGTTTCAAGGAACAAATAACGTATAGAAATTTTATTACAGACCTGTTATATGTTAGTTGAGACGCGAGACTGGAATATAAAGTATAAATTATCTTAGTAAATTTAAGACTTATCATAATGCAACTCATTCTAAGTCTGCAAGAAAAGTGTTAAAATATTTAGTAAAGACAACAGAGATAAAATTGAATTACGATTGTGATAAAAAGAATGAAT